TGGCAGAATGTTCAAGTTCTCTGAACTGAAAATGGCATAGTAGAAGTGATTTAAATGCAGAATCATGAAACAAAGTGGTGGAACTGAAAAAGGGACTATGGTGTTCAGTAAAGCTCTTGATTGGAATCCAATATATTTCACTTGTTATAAGAACTCCATTTTGAATTATTTTTCGTCTGACATGATAACATTTTAGCTACTTAATGCATCTTTACTTGCATTATCACTAGCTCAATTCTACTCACCCCCTCTTGCAGGATTCCGTATACTTTAATGGACATTAGAACCATGATAACACAGACAGAATCACTGTTCTTCTATCTTTTCTACCATTTTCGCCATCAGAACAGAAATCCATTAAACAAAATAATTCCAACAAAAAGACTTACATAAAGCATGACCCTTTGAATAGATTCATGAGGGAATTTTAATAAATCCTTAGATTTGTGAATTTAGTAATTCAAAATTAACATGAAAGAACCCTTCAACTTAAATCACCGGGACTTGACTTGCATGATTGTTATTACTAGTTTCTGGACATGGACAATCACAAGGCAACATTGCATCAATATTCAAAACCTATATAGCATAAAACAAATAAGCATATTTGCTTCCGTTTGATTTATACTTAAAAACAAAGACATACACTAAAACTCATACATTTGTACTTCATTAAATCTCTACAATAAGAATGAACATGAAGGCTAGAAGAATACATATCACACTGATTAATTATATTGAAGTGTATAACAATGGTGGATGAGCCAAGATGATGCAAAAGGAATCAATGTGTTTAAGGGAATACAAAATACCTCATCCTTCTTCTTGCCTCCAGAAAAAAGCTTGTATCCACTATAGATAAGCAGTCCCCAACCGGATAAAGAGATAATAACAAACTGAAAAGAGGAGCTTCATATGATCAGTACAAGTGCATCAAAGACACCATCTGATGAATCCAGGTACCAGAAATTAAAGGACAAAGTGCATCAGAATGCAACGAAGTTTGCTTTTATTTAGTGTAACAAAGAATTTTTTTTCTTAATAAATGGAATGAAGTTTCAAATTTTCCTATTTTTTACCCGTTTTGAACAGTAACCTGTTGATCTTGTAAAATTTGATGACATGTGTCAAGTTTATCGTCCACTTCGCCGTAATTTCATAAAACTTCCGTAAACGGGTATCCATGTCACCAAACGTTATATGATCAGCAGATTACCAGTCAAAGTAGATACGAAATAGAATTGTAAACTTTGTTAACATCGATTAAGAAAAAATATATTACCTGTTACCTTAAATACAAAAGTCACATGATTACAAGGAACCATTCAAAGCATACAAGGATCATTGTATTTTATATCCGGTCCCCCCAGAATTTTGCTGGCAGGTAATGCTGTAACTACACATATATGCTCTTATTGATGCAATTCAAAAGCTGAGACAACAGATCTTCTATCTAAAACATTCAATTCAACTCTCCAGTCTCAACTATCCATCACGAGACTTGCAATAGTCCCAACACAGACAAGTGAAAGAAATTGGCAGAAGAATGTTCTGTGTAACTGTGTAAGTTGAATTTAGACTTATTAGAAGATCATTGCATAAGGATACTGCTGTAAACCATCGAAAATATAATAATAACAAACACAGATATCCCGAATCCATGGAGGTCTTTCATTATAATTTAGATTTACTGCAGCTTCAATTTGAAGCAAAATAGGTATAGATTTCTAAGGATATTTCTGTTGATAAAAAACATGTCACAATCAAGCAGTTTCTCATGAAATCACACGATATAAATCTGGAAATTTTGTATTTGAAGTCACTAAACAGATCAAGTATTTCATATTTTTTTTATTTGTTATTAACTTCTAACTCCATTGTCACAACAATTGCTTTGGCTTGAACTCTAGGAAAAATGAAATCAAATTCAGAAAGAATATAATTCAAAGAACAAAAAATCATACTTTTTAAAAATTACCATCATATGAAAACCCTAAAACCTTCAATAACGTCAAAGTATAAACAGTTAATCGATCAAACTCGAATCACACAATCACAAAAATGAAGACTCACGTGCTCTTCCTTCCACTTGGACGGACTCATTGGATCTTTCCAAAAGTCAACCTTCGGTGTTCCATGATGATCTGCAAACAAACGCCATCACTTAATTCGCTTTCATTTGAAACCAAAAAGCTCAAAGCGTCCTTATAAGTACAAATCTCGTCTCAGTAGTCAAATACAATTAGGTTACATATTGATTTCGTAAGTGAAAGAGTGAGTGAGTGAGTGAGTGAGAGAGAGAAAGAGTTGTAGTGTACCTGCGGCGCCCGCAAGGCCACGGCGCTGGATAAAGGAAGCGGCTTGGGAAGCTGATCTAGGAGAGGAGAGTCGAAGCATAGTTGCAGCTTGACGAGCCGCCAAGAATGATGCCATTTTTGCAGCTCTGAGCTCGTTTCTTCCGATCGAGCGATCCTCACGTGAACAGAAAAGAAGATTTAGGGGAAGGAGACCGACTACGGACCCTCAAAAGGAGGAGATCAAAGTAAAACGACGTCAGATTGTTTCTTTAACGTTATGCGTAGGTCATCAAAGTGGTTTTAAAATTCACAATTGCGATTTAAAAATTAAAAGAAAATAATAAATTATAATATAGACGAAGAATCATGTGATAAGCATAGAAAAAATTTAAACCATTGATCAATTTTAATCTCATAACCATTTATGAATTGCATTTTAAAATAGAATTGATCAGGTGCATCTTAGTACACCTTGTTAATATTGGCATTCCAATTAGGACTGATTCAAGGGTGAAGATATTTTTTTACGTTTCTCATTATAACTTTCTTTTTCACTGAAATTCAACCCATGTAACATAATATACAAAATAGTTGTTATATCACTCTTACTAATCTTACCAGTAAGATCATCAATCCTCAAAATGCACAGTACGATTGCTGGTAAGTATCCCTACCAGATAACTGATCATCGAGTAAGAGTAATCATTCTTCACTAATCAGGTAACATTTCAGTTGTTGTCATGTCTTTTAACAAGTAAATTTTTTGGTTAATATAAATGAGTAACTGACCTTGTAAGTTTTTACCAGTGTTTTTATTTCTGATTTAAAATAATTTTATATATCTTTTATCATATCACATAAACAAATACCTAATTATCTATACTACCTTATTAACCAAATTTATTAAAAGTCTTAAAAACAATTTTTAATGTACAAAATATTATACATTTATGCACAAAGTCTTAAAAATAACTCATAATGCATTAACTACTACTACTAATGCATTTAGTCTTAAATCTCTTAATCTACAATTAAAACAACATATAGTACAAGTTACCAATGCATATTATTACTTTTTCTTTTCATGTTCCCAAGATACTTTTGACATTTTTCACTCATGCATTCACCCTCTCATGCCTCTATGTCTTCTCCCCATCCCCCAAGGTGAGATCCAAGATTAAATTCACCATAATTATTAAAAGTTCTCTCATTCAATTGCTCTAGAACTCTTGCTCTTGGTGTAAACCTAACATATTTGTGGAGTCGTTTAAATATGTTAGATTTTAAATATATTGCATTTTAAATTGTCATACAATTTTTTTTCATCGATAGACTGTAATTGAAACCATAACTCTTCTTGTTCAAATTGTATTAATATGTAAAAACCAAGTGTAACGTATATCATCGTTAAATCTTCTCTAACAAAACCAGTAAAACTTTAAAATCATCAAAATTCACGACTCCCACCGCATTGTAGGAAGACACAGTTACTATATAAATAATGAGTTGATGCACAAGATATCTCATGAAATTTTTGTCATAAATAAATATTATATAACAAAATGAGAATAGATGTTAAATATATCTGTCCTTTATTTCCAGATTGCTAGGAAATCATATTTACTATTATACATCTTTTTAGAAGGTGAATTGTTTCCAAGGCATCACAATGATCAAACACATTCCCTCTGACATTTTTTTTAATACAGGTTAGGAGGTCGACATTCTTGCAGAATGATGAAAAATCGCATTCTTGATCTGGTCTCAATCAACCAATTCTCTTGTTTATCGTACCAACATCGGGAACCAGATGGGGTAAAGCAGGACGATAAGAAGAATGATCACGAGGAAAATGGCGATGACGGTAAACTTCCTCGAGCTCTTCTGCAACTCTCGGGCTTCGACCAGTTGTTCGGTCCCACGGTGGACGAACGAGCTTGCATGCGAGACGTGGCTCTCGATATCGTTCAGCTGTTGGCCTTGGGCCTCCACGAGCGCCGCCATGTCCAAAAAGATCTGGTGCAGTTCTATCAGATTCTTTTCGATTTCCTTCACGGAATCATGTCGTTCTTGAATCTCGGAGATGGTGTCCATGATCTGGCCTCGACCCTGATCTTGGATCGCTTTCTGCATGAAATCTTCACTTTCTCCATTCGAGATCAGGTTTTCAATCAATTCATCGTTAGGTTTTTCACCCGTGATGGTGAAGTATCTTCTCGCGACAGTCTCCTTATACTCCTCGTTCATGCGGGCCCTCAACGATTGGAAGTCGTCCATCATCGACTTGAGCTTCTTTCCGAGACCACTAACGACGGACGTCCGCGTTCTGTCGGCCGACGATCCCGGCCCGCAACCGGGAAGCTTCCGGTGGGCGATGTTCGCCTTATCCAACGCCTCGATCTTTCCTTTGATGACACGAACCCGCTTCAAAACCTGTGAAACATCGGCATCCATCTTGGCTCGGAGGTTCTTCATGGCGGTGGCATTACTGGCCGTCTTGCACTCCTCATTCTCCGCCTGTAGCTTCTTGTACAGCTTGTCTATGACAGCCATGTCTTCTTTGACGTTTTCGACATCTTCGAAGAACTTGTCGAGGTCGACGGAGTCGCTGCCGCCGGCCTCCAAGTCGCGTTCGTCATCTTGAGCTTGTTTGAAGGATTGGGAGAACAAATCATTCATGGTGAGCGATTAGGGGGGTGATGATATGATCACTTGTATTGTATAAATAATATATATAAAGAAAATGGAAATTCAAAGGGAAAATGGAACGTGGATTTGGACAGACCTTCCCTTCTTCTTCCAGAAAAAGTTTATTGGAGGAAGAAGAAGGAGAAGAAAAGGTGAAAATGGTGATCGCTTTCGGCACCAAATAAATAAATGAAATGGAGGATGTCTTTCAAGGGTTCTTAGTTAAATTAGGAGAATTTCTCTCTTTTTTTGTCTTTTTTTTTACACTTTTTTCGTTCAATATTTCCTTTTTTAAATTCAAATTAAATTAAATACACAACAATTGTTGTTTCATAACTCTAACTCTAACTCATTTCTTAAGTTCACAATTTATCGAGATTAATAACATATATATATATATATATATATATATATTAGTTGTGTATCCGCGCAATCCGGCGGGAGCCATGAATCTTAACGATTTTGAAGTTTCACTGATTTTATAAGATAAGATTTAACGATGATACAGGTTACATTTGGTCTTTACATATTAATGCAATTTAAATAAATAAGAGTTATGGTTCCAATTACAGACTATCGATGAAAAAAATTGTATGACAGTTTAAAATCCAATATATTTAAAATCCAACATATTTAAACGACTCCACAAATGTGTTTGATTTACACCAAGAATAAAGAACCAAGAAACTTGAGTTTTAAGATAAACACTCAAAACCAATAAAAAAACTACAAATTTGACAGATCATAAGCCATGAAAAGACCAAAAAAGATGGGTTTTAGAATGAAATTTCAACTGCTTACCATATTTCTTGTCCAGAAACTCAGATTAAGGTTGAATAAATACATGTGTATATATATATATATATATATATATATATATATATTTCAAAAATATCCAAGAACATATTAATTCAGAACATATTATACAGTGCAATTTAGACAGCCTAACCCCAAAATATATAGTATATATATAAATGAATAACTATAAAAGTATAAATCATAAATATTAAAAATATTTTTTCACAGTATATCTAATATATAATAATATAATTAAATCGAAAAAACTATTCAATATTGGACTCATTTCGAATGTATTAACGAGACGATTATAATGGTGTAACTTGTTAAAATCAAAAATGTATTTTTTTAAAACATGTTTTAATTGATATACGATTATATATGTTAATTTGATAAACGTTTAAAATGAAATATTTAGAAGTGAAGGACGTAAAATAAATTAATTAACTAATTATAGAGGTATAAAGTGTAAATTTAAAATTATAATTTTATAAAAATCGGTTATGAGGGGGTGAGTGTATCTGAGAGACGAGGGGGTGAGTGTATGTGAGAGACGAGGGGGTGAAAAAGTAATGGAAGGTAGTATAAATGATATCTTGATCATTTAATATTTTAAACCTTTAAGACTTTTGCTAAATTTGCTTAATAAGATAGTATAGATATATACTAGAAAGGTACTCGCACAAAAGAACAAGATACATCTTGATTTTAATGATTTTAATGTTTTGCTTTATTTTTAAATAAAATATAAATTTTAAGATATTATAAATTAAAAAAACAATCGATATTATCATTAAATTAACTATTTAAAAGTTCTTGTTTTAGTATAATTTTTTTTAATTTAATTTTTATTATAATTTAATTGAAATTTAATAATGAACTAATTTACTTTTGGTTTAAAAAAACAACTTTTTTAAGATGATAATTAATTATTATATTAGAATTCAATAATTATCCTAATTATATTTTAGATTTTTTATATTTAAATGAGATGTTTATTCTTTATTTGATTATGTTTATCTACAGTTAGTTATATGAATTCAAACATGAAACTTTAATAAGTTGTACTTATGCACAATTACTTGTAATCTTGAATTTTAAGGAATATTCATCAATAAACAGTACTTTATGCATAAAAAATGGTTCTTAAAAGTTTTCATCAAATGCTTTATAATATAATATATATATATTTAGGGTTTTTAATTGCATAGAATAAAATTTGCAGATATTCATATACGAAGACAAAAAGTTGGTAATATAAAACTTATAAAACAAGATATATGTTTTATAATAATTAATGTTTAACTAAATAAGCAACTATGATACGAGAATTCTAATACCATATACCAACTGAGTTTGCATACTTGGTATAATACTATCAATCAAGTGTGGTTAATGCTAATTTAATCATATAAGGTTTAGGTCATCAAAAGATAACATAAAAAGTCCATTTTATCACAGTGACATACAAATCCAAGTATTTGTTATGTTAATCGAACATGAAGAAATAAAACAAGTGTATTCGATCAGTTTACGCCCTGCTGGAGGCAAATTAGAGTGGTCGTTAGAACTCGATTTCAAACACCATCTTTGTGCCTTTCTAGACATGGACAATCTTGACTAGGCCCACGTAACCGGTTAATAACCAAAACCAAACCTGATCGGTAACTGATTATACCAAAATTTTGTGACCGGTTATACCAACACCGCCAGCTACACTAATTATAACCAGGACCAAACCGACCTAACCGGTTACAAATTTTCATTACCAAGACCGGTTAACCGATTTGCCCGATGAAGGCGACAAGGAATCGAACCGTTACTACCGAAAATGTAATCAAACACCATTAGAGAGATTGATACATTTAGACTTGTAAATTAACACCTCAATGTGTTTGATGATGGCTATATATAATTTGTCTTCTCTTTTGTCAACAATATGATTGACTTTCCACATAAAAGTCTAACAAATTTTCTTTTCTGTAATCATAAATATCTAGGTCAGCTTGTGTGTACCTCAACTAATTCTATCAGGCATTAAAAATAACAGACAGAAAAATTCTCAGTGGTACTCTGAAAAGAGTCGGTTCAGCGAAAATTGCATTGCTCCAACATGGGATGACTATAATCAACATATTTCTCCCAAAAAGGCTTGTATTTATCCATTCCAATCTTCAACCATGGCTTTAAATTCCCATTAAAATGTAACACAGCTCCATTTTCTATCACGTCCTCTTCGACATTGGTGTAGCCCAAACCAAGAACATGCCAGTTTGGGTCCAGCGGTTCGGTTAACCCGTAAAACGTAAGAAGTCCTGGTGGCAACGTACCCAGTTTCCACAACGTCCGATCCACGTTCTTTTCTTGCCAGTAATGGTAAATCCCCGTAACGTTCCGTTTCCGCCACTCGACCAAATCGAAAACGTTCATCCCGAATGCCCAACCACAGGCGTCGGGATCAAAATGTGATCTTATGAGCGGGTGAGAGTAGTTCAAGTATTTGTGGTATCGATGAAACGTCTCCATACATGTTTCCACTGCACCATTGACGTTTCCGTTCAGATCGACGGTAAATAGACCCGCGAGATCCTTTTGAACCACAACATCATCGTCAAGAAACACGAGCTTGTTGAGTGCTGGAAAAACTTCTGGGATGTAAAACCGTAAATGGTTCAACATCGATAGATATTTCGGGTTTCGGAACTTGATCGGAGTCTTCCCACCATCGTTGTTTCCGGAGAAGTAATAGTTTTTGGTATCGGAATCTTGGAGCTGTTTGAGAACCGGAACGTAAGAAGCATTCAGCCAGCTGAAATCCTCAAACTTCTGCACATCAACCGTCACTTGGCGAAATCTGTTCATCGTGAACCAAGCCTTCATTGCCGCAAAATTCACTTCATCGGTTACAAGATGGAACACGATCCGATCTGGGTTTTGTGAGTTTAATGCCGTCGAGTTTACCACGACCGAAGTTGCAAGAATGTTGTCGGAAAAGATGCAGAAATGATAGAGGCTGTTGTCTTTCAGCTTAATTCCGCTTTGGGTCTTTTCGAATACTGTTTGCTGCAACTTCGAAAGATTGAACCATTCAGTTGTCAAACGGACACCAAGACAGTATAAGCTCTTCGGGACTTCTTCGGCAGCTATTTGCCCGTATTTGCTACTTTTATCGGTAACGGAACTCGTTTGTTCTTCAAGCTCTTGGATTCTGGCTTTAAGTCTCATGATCATTGTGGCACTGTCATAATGGAGTTGTTGCGCTTGAAAAAGCAAGAATGCCATTTCTCTAACAGCGGTATTTGATTCCCCAAGAGTTAATGGAGATCGCCTTAATGCAGCATTTGAAAGAAGGATCTGGGAGTTGCGAATTTGTGTGCTCAATTCCCATGCGAATTGAAGGTTGTTGCTTTCTTTAGCGATCACAATATACGCCTTAGCTAGTGATATTTGATCAGTGAGTTGCCGTGTGATTGAGTCAGGATTTAACATTTCATCTGTAACATTAAGGCTCTCCATGGTCATTACCTGCCTGTAAGTTCTCTGCAAAACACAATTTTAAAGTGTAAATGTATTAATATTACCGATTATGTAGGATAACGTGCCCATGAAAAAGAATAAATTTCCAACATTATCAACAATAATAACAAGCCTTCTATCTCAAAGCAGACTAACCCAGTATATCTCACACATATATAGGGTCAGGGAAGAGTTGGATGTAAGCAGACTTTACCTGTAGCCCAAGGAGTAAAAGTTGAGCAAACATAATCTTTCAGACATATTAACCGAAGTTTAAAATTAGCATTTGTGAGCAAGCAATCATAAATAGAGTGCTTATCTTTACAAAGCTATTTTGGATTATTTGAACATAGAAAGATGAACATATCCAAAAGCACGGTGAACCAAATATATGCTACTTCCTGTACATTTCCATCTATTGACAATGTAAGTAGACTGCTGAGCATTTGCAAGAATCCCTCGCCCATATTCTTTAGTTTTTGGATGCCAATTGGCCCTTGATAACAAGTTCTCATTTACTGAGGCCTCTTTGAAGGTCAGAGAGCTATTTTTGGAAGATTCAACCAAACGGGCACAGTAAAATCCCACTAAAAAGTAGAGTCGGGGGTGGGGGTGAGATGTATCCAGACCTGGCCTCTGCCCCAAAGAGTAGAGCGGCTGGTTCCGTGAGAACCCCCAACTTGTGCAAGAGTAGAGCGGCCTTGATCACTAGATCTACATATATTCCTATTACAAAATGACACCACCTATTCATAACTTTCTACGCCCTATGTCGGAAGTTAGAGTTCAAACTTGAGATTAAAGAGTCATATGACACAACCCAACTTCCATGTCAAAAGAAATTAATAACAACCTTTACATTATACTTTATACATAAAGTGCAACAAATGAAAACTTTGAGTCTTAATAATTATCATAGACTTCATAACAATTTTGGATGTGAGAAATACTAGTGTGGCCTTTCGTGCATCAAATTTCAAAAATGAACTCTAACTATGAGACCGGATTCTTTAGATGATGGAATTTGCCAAGAACTAATGTAGCACGGATCCAAGAATTGATGGACTCTGTCATGGATCAACAGGAGAAGTGAAAATGAGCTTGAAAATATCTCAAAACCCAACACCGTAAACAGGAAGACAGATGCTCATGAGACTTCTCTGCGACCTACTCACCTGCGTGTCCTGACAAGTCCTATGCATATTGCTTTCATTTGTTTATATGATTTTTATGTTTCCTAATTAATTTAGGATTATTATTTGTTTCCCTTTAATCATTATTTTCCTTTCCTAGTAAGATTAGGATTTGGTATCATTTCCTTATTAGCCTATCTTTTCTTTGTAAACTAAAATAGGTTTTATTGTTCTCCCTTTCAATTCAGATTATTGATTAATGAATTAAACCTTTTAGAGTTCTATCTCTACTTTTAAAACTTTTCACTTATCTTCCGAGTTCTACGCTTGTACATCTGTTATCCTTAGAGGATTTAGACGTTTGTTGATCCTTCCTAGTTTTCCTACTACGTCAAGAACCCAAGCTGATAACTCATTACAGTTAAATAAGATGTCATGTTCCTTTTTTAGCATAGAAAAATGAAAATTTCTGCAGCCTATGAGATCATGGTCACAACCTATCAGCCAAATCTTCTCTTGATTCACCTATGTATCATTAGTGACCGAAGCCTTGTTAAGCCTCTTCACAATGAAATATTCAAATGACATTGTCTTTTCTCTCAGGATGCAGGATGGATTTGTACTGGAATCGAACTTAATCTGATTTCTGTTCTTAATCATGCTTTTCAGATACAAACCACAATGCATATATAATAAATTTCTCAACAAAATGCAATCACAGAACATCAAATAAGCATGTTCCTTTAATCAAGAGATCATTTACAATATCTTAGCAGTTCCAAATATATCCCCAAATAAATCATAATATGCATATGATAATTGAAAACGAATTTGTTGAAAAGAACAGATCGAATTTACCTTAGATAACACCGATCTGGATGCAGGTTTGGCGCTCTCTCGAGTTAAGAAAACGATCAACACCAAAACCACAAATCCACATAATGTCAACCAAAACACATTCGGAAACCACCGCCGCCTCACTGGCCGGCGAAACTCCGGCCTTGTTCTTCTCATTTCGTTGTAACCACAAACTAATAAACCCTAAAATTACATCCAATTAACAACACTATCGGTGACAGAGTAGGTAAACTGATTTTTGGTGGGTAAATTGGCCTACGCCACTGATTAACGGTGAGTGGTAGTAGCAGGGGAGGGTGGAGAGATCTGGTCAAATGGTGCCTTGCTGTGATTGCCAACACCATGTAAACCTCTGCAAGTAACCGAAGATAACGATGGATGGAACAACGATGCAACAAAATGAAAACTTCTTTTTGCGAAGCAATTCGTATTTCCGATTCTTTGTTTCGGGAAGAGGCTCACTTTTTAGGAACGAATGTGAATTAAAAGAATAATAATTACATTTTTGTCCCCTGTGGTTTCATGAATATTACGGTTTTTGTCCCTTGTTTTTCGTCAATTACGATTTCTGTCGTGATGGTTTGTAATTTGTTTCTATTTTCGTCCATGGAACAAACTTCTAAAAGATTGCGACTATTTTGTTCTTTTTACCTTTTTTATTTTTTCTTATTTTTCATTAGGTAATATCGTAATATAATACTAGAAGGGTACTCGTGCAATGCAACAAAATACATCTCGATCTTAATGTTTCGTTTATATTTTGGGTCTATCGATGTTATAAAGCGATTTTATGTGATTTTAAGGGGAAAAAAATGTTTTTATTTTTGAATGAAATATAAATTTGAAGATATCATAAAATTTTGAAAAAAAAAATAATCGATGTTAATATCAAATCAACTATTTAAAAGTTCTCATTTTTTATGTAATTTTTTTAATTTATTTTTTTATTATAATTTAATTTAAGTTTAATAATGAAATAATTTATTTTTAATTTAATAATATAAATTTTATAAAAATAATAATTAAGTATTAATATTCAATGATTATCTTAATTATATTTTAGATTTTTTATATTTAAAATGAGATGTTTATCATGTATTTGATTATGTTTATCTACAGTTAGTTACACGAATTCATATATGAAGCTTTAATAAGTTGTACTTACGCACAATCTACTTGTAATTTTGAGTTTTAAGTAATATGCATTAATAAACAGTACTTTACGCATAAAAAATGGTTTTTAAGAGTTTTTGTCAAATGCTTTATAATATAGTATAGATTATGTAAAATTAAATATATGAAATAATTACCATGACGTTCCATGTGCTTTCCTCAAATTTTGTATATGCCCTTAAATGCACTATCTACATTGGTGGTCCCTAAATTTTTACGGTCTGGTTGTAAAATTCTTCCGGGGACGCGTTTGGTGTCCAAGATCAGGGACAATCACGAGTTGTTGTTAGAAGATACTTATAAGTACAAGTACTCAACCCATCCGGGAAGTACAAAGATTTATAGGGACTTGAAGCTAAATTATTGGTGGCCCATCATGAAGCTATTCGTGGCTAACTACGTAGAGCGGTGTGTGACGTGTTTGCAAGTGAAAGCCAAACACCAATGACCATGAAGAAGCCTTCAATCCTTAGAGATCCCGAAATGAAAATGGGAACACATCACCATGGACTTCGTGACCAAGTTGCCGAAGAAATTAAGACGTCATGATATTATTTGGGTAATGGTCGACCATTTGACCAAAAGCACTCAGTTCCTAGCCATAGGAGGGTTGAGTCTTGAGGTGTAGCCTTGGTGGCAGGCACGAAGACCTATGCCATGTGAGGTGTTGCCATAGGGGGTAGTCACCAAGTGTGTTAGGCCTTTGGGTGTGTTAGTGAGAATCGACACTAAGGTCAACCAATTCTTGAGGTGCATCTTGCTAAAAGGACACCCCCTCCCGGCGGGTGCTATTCATTATTACTTTTGGATAGTGTAATATCCATGTTTTAGCATTTCTTGGGTTTTGGCGAGTAACCGTAATCTGTAGTTTTGATATATTAGATCCTCTCCATGTACTATTGTTTTGGATGATATAGTTTTATCTATGTTTTCAGTATTTGGATATTTGTCCTTATTTGCCTTTTGTATTATTGTTTTGGATAATATGGTTTTATCTATGTTTTCAGTATTTGGATATTAGTCATTATTTGCCTTTCATATGAGTATTGGGCTTTCAGTCCCATGTTGAAGGAAGTTATAATTGATGGGGTGTCATCACAAAAAATGGTGAGCTTTGGGGGAGATATCGCTTCTATTCTAAATATCTTTCTTATTGGGAATTGTGTTTTAAATAATATTATTTCCGTTTTACCATTTCATATAATTGATGAAAACTGTTTGAGCTCACTAGGCGTTAAACATAACTATTTTTCTTTGTCGACATGTGCATCAGCTCCTTGAGGGAAAAGTACTAACGTCACTGTAATGAGATGTGTCCTAGCTAGAGGCACGAGAAGGAATTCCTATCCGGGGGACATCTTTCATATGATCAGTGTCTTATGTTAGGGCTTAATAACACCCGTTCCCATTTGTACACTTATGTAAGAGTTGGTTTTTACACTGTTCATGGTAAATCTAGATTTTCCTTTTAAAGTAATTCAAATATTGGTTTATAGAAAGAGATTTATCCTTTATTTGCGTTATTATTGAAAATTTTAAATTAGTCCGTCTTTCTGAATATGAAGGTTTTAAAGTCAGTATCAGAGTATAGTTAGATTTTATGTATTCGAAGATTAAATTGTATGAATTGAATATTTTAAATTGTATGA